AGGAAAGGAAAGGAAAGGAAAGGAAAGGAAAGGAAAGGAAAGGAAAGGAAAGGAAAGGAAAGGAAAGGAAAGGAAAGGAAAGGAAAGGAAAGGAAGAAAGGAAAGGAAAAAATAGGAAGACGTGGGGTGTTTTCTGGGGAAGTGCAGACACATGGAGTGTATCTGCAGGCAGGTCACATCCGTGCGCTGGCAGAAAATTCAAAGAGCAGGCACACTGCCTGGAACGTCTCATCGGGTAGTGAGTGAAGAGCTGGATCATCCAGGACCTGAAAGACACATGAACAAACCAAAGCCTCACTAKATATGATTTTTAACACAGTTGCTTATGGTGGAAGATCTCCTTTGGGCAGACAGCAGCATGAGGTGTGCCAAGGGAGGGAATGTCACTGGTCTGGGCTGTGTGCATGAAGTGACAAAGGTCCTGCTCCCCTATATTCAGGTAGAGTAATCCATCAGTGGGTGTAGAGGTGACGAGCATGATCAGTGCACAATCCAACTCTTAGTAATTCACAGCAGAGYCAATTCCCTTCCCTTTGCCCAAGGCATTGGCTCCTATAAAAGCCAGTAACTGACAGAGGGTAAGACCAGAATGAAATAATTAAGGGAGTGATCTCCCTGAACAAGGGAGACCTGCTCAGGGCGAGAAAGAAATATCTCCAAAATGAATTAGCTCTTTGTTTACCTGCTTTTGTTTTACTGTCATTTGGTTCTGATGGGATGCACCTCTGTGGTTCAGCCATAGAAACCAAATATCTGCATATTCCACAAGCCCAGAGCAAGTTGATTCAGCAAGAAGCAAAGTGCCCAAGAACTCTGCAGAATGCTGTAAAATCATTTACCCATTCAAGCTCTTCCTTTTCCTATAGCATACATTAAAATAGCAAAAATTGTTTTTCTGAATTCCTGAACTGACTAATTATTACAAAGATTTGAAGATGTCCCCTTTGACATCTACAAGCATCACTCTGTATCTTGCTCCCCAGCCCACGTGCCTTGAGTTTCATGTTTCTTCACCACTGCAAAATCAGTGCAAGAATGCAGAACAGCAAGATGGAAACTAGCTAGAGACTGCCTGCTCTGGGAATCTTAGAAAAGGCTCATTCATTATTAATGCCCAAAGCTTTCCTTCTCCTCTGGCTTACATTATGGCTGGTAAAAAGGGCAATTTCCAAGATACAGATCTTTATATTGATGCTTTCAGAGGCTCAAAAGAGGTTCTGTTACTGCCCTCAGAGCTGCAGCCACTTCTCATAATGAGGCCAGCASATACGGCCTCCCGCTTTTCATAATCTCTTTTGAAAAGGTTTTCCCCAGCAGCTCTCACTGCAAGGGAAACAACAATGGATGCTGACTGACTGTTAGACCAACACACGTGAAGCCAAAAAATACTTCAATGTACAGCTTAGATAGGGGCTTTCTTGGGTCCTATTTTTAGGTAACATTTAAYTCAGAGATGTGCTCCCATCCCCATGAAAGAACAAGATTTCTCACTTGTATTCTCTACTGCCCTAAAGTCCCCGTGAGAAGGCACACTGACTGCACCCACAGCATGGAAGTAYCTTCTTTATYCTGTCCAATAATCACACTGCTCTGWATACAGCCATCAGTCATCTCAGAACAATGCAAAACCCTTTTCCTCAACAACAACAGACTTGGAAATTAAATTAAACTTTTTAAGAGATCTGAGACAGCAGTCAAATTGTGCAAACCCCCTCAGAGGGGAGGACCTCAAGCAGACATCTTCGTGTAATTGTTCTACAGGTGAGCCCTCCATTGCTGAAAATTTAAATGACACTTTGGATCTGCACAGGTTCCTTTGGCCACCATTTCAATGACACATTTAGTAAAATTAGGGTCTGATTAGCAATTCAAGTGAAAAAAAAAAGAAAAACAACAGAACCAACTTTTCTAGTAGTATCTGCTGGATGTTACCTAGGGAATGCCCGGCTTGCTCTGAACTGGACTCTGAAAGGTATGCTTAGATCAAACATGTTTCATATTAAACATGATACAWGATTTCAGATCTCCTCTGAGAGGGCTGCAGGGGATCATGTGTATAGGGCTGAGCTCCTTTCTCGGAACATTAGGTGTGTTCTCTTACCTGGCTTTGTCCCAAGGCTTGGCTTTCTTCCACGTAGGGTGCAGAAACAGGTGGGCACTGAAGATTGYCAAACACAGCCTGAGAGGAACTGGGGAAAAAAATTATATACAAGAGCATTTATGCTCTACTTGCCACTTACTGTAATGTTTTGCAGCAGGAAAGGAAGGGCTGCAGGCAAGACTATCCTTTTGATAGACTTCTGTTATCTACACACTAGCCCCATTTCTCCAAATTGTTATGGCCTGAAAATACAGACTCTGCAGTAGGAAGACAGTCCTGACCAGGAGCAGTATACAGGGAGTCACATCTCARTCTGCCACTTTCCTTTTGCCCCAATCTCTAAACAAGGAGATGTCTACCAAAATGTCTCTCTCCTGCAACGTTTTAAGAGCAAAGATCTTAAGAGTCAAAACATGTGCCTTTAGACATAGACACAACATTAGCTATGCTTCTGCTACAGCTTTCCAAGGCCACCAGTCAAGTCTGGGGACATGGCTTCCCCATCCACATTCCCCTGGGGGCTCTGCCAGCCTCTCAACAGAGATCAGACTGTGGGCACTGGGTCAAGTAGCAGACACTGTGTACTCRAGAATGGGATGTTCTCTCCCATCAGCACCAACTCAAAAGTCTCTAATCCAACAACACTGCCCATACCACCACCAGCAACAGCCCAAAGTGTGAGTGGCCATACAGGCCCAGACAAGAGGTGCCCACTAGCAGAGAACAGGAAAAATGTAGAAGCAACTGGGCAAGTGTCAAGTTGCCCTTCCTTAGAATGCCCCCAGTCTTGGGACTCCTCTGCTGGAAGCTGCATTCAGGCAGTCACATTTCCTAACGACAAATGGACTCAACTCCCTCTCCCACCCCCTCAAGAATTTGTCTCATGCTTTTTCACAGCCCACTTACGCCGACATGCACAGTGCCCCTAGCAACGAGTTCTGCAATTCAGTTATGCAACGTGCCAAAAAGGTAGCCTCTGTTTGTGGGTTTGGGACTTGCTGCCTGCCAGTGTCAGGATGCTGGATTATCCAGAGGGGAGAGCCTAACAGCAGGAGGATTCCCAGCACTCTGAGCTGGCATCTCAAAAATGCAGGCAGAAGCTGGAAGCTGACATGAGCATCTCGGCACTGACATTTTGTAAATCAATATGCTGGCTCATAAATGCAGAATGCCTTGCTCCATAGAGCTCAGTGTGCTTTTCTTTCTGAAATGGGAGGCACAAAACTTCCAYTCTGCAAGAACCATTAGCTGGGCTGCATTCCACCTGTCCCGACTTGCAGAGTGAGGAGGAGACACCACCACTATCTGGAAAGGGAGCATCTGTTTGGTGTCCCACAGGGACTTCCAGTCCGCTTGCTGGATCAAAGCCTCCTCTCAGGCAGCAGAAGCAGATGGAGACAGTCAGCTTCCAGCCTGGTTCCCTCTCACACTCCCACCTCACAGCCCTGGAGATCAGAAGAGGTTTGGAGACAGCCCAAGTGTGTAGGACTGGCTGTAAAAAGCCTGTAAAAGAAATCAACAGGAATTGTTCTAACAAGCTCTCAGGCCACATCCTTCCCAGGTGAGCATCTTTAAAAATGAGAAAAGATTTAAGGGTCCTTTGGCTGACTAATAGCTCTATCCCAGTACTCAGGAGAGCGTAACACTGAGTCCACTCCAGACAGGTGATCCTGGCTAAATAATTTCCTTCTCTTTGTGTWACTCTTACCTGTAAAGCTGGGATAATTTCACTACCCTGTCCTTCCAGCACAGCAACACTCATTTGCTGTACCTTCTAAGCTGCTGCCTGTCAGTTCTCAGAGGAGTGATGCTCATTGCAACATGACTGCTCAAGAGGACTTTGGTAACAGCACTCCTCTAACTGACTGTTGGACGGCTGTGCCTTGTAACACAGATGATCCTCACTGACTGAGCAGTGATCTTACCCAAGACTACCCACATGAGGTCTCCTGGCTCCCTAGAGAGAAACTGCAAAATGAAATTGCTGAAATTGCAGCCTAAGYATCACTCACTTCTGAAAAAGACTGATGTTCCATGGCTTCGTGGTATTTTAAGGAGTTCAAGGTTTTGTGGGGAGCTGAGCAGACCTGATAGAGCTCAAATAACAATATCCTCACCAAAAGGTGCCAACAAAGCTGCAAGTCCTGCCCTTCACAGGARTATGATAAAAGGGTGTGTGGATTCCTGGCACACTGACATACCCAACAAGGAGACATTCACCATAGATTTCTTCTACTGGCAGAACATACTTTAAAAATAAACATGAGCTCACTCCAGAGTCAGAACATGCAATTTAAATCCAGCCAAAATATTGCCAGCAAGCCTTGCTGATCTTCATGATCTTTAGCCACTGTTTAAAACTGCGAATCCTAAAACAGAGACTGAGGTTTACAATGCCCGACCTGGGTTCTCCCCAGCAATTCATAGCWAGGAGTCTGACATGACTGTGAACAAGGCACCAGGCCAAGTGGGAAACAGGGGTAAAAGGCAGAAATGGTTTTAGCAGGGAACTGGGGCCAAAGCCTCACCAATCTTTACCTYCAGTGAATCACTGCCTTCCTTTGTTGGACAAATCCCAAAGCCTTCTGTGCCTCTGCTTCCTCATTTATGAAGCATGAATGAGGCTTATTCTACCTGCCTTTTAGACTACTGACAGTGCTGGCACAAACACTGTTCAGTGTCAAGCATAAGGGCTATAAAACAGGGCTGCTGCTCCTGCTCTATCTTGTAAAAGATCAGTAAATTAAAGGAAGCTCATAWTGTCTGTTTGGCAGTGTTTATTCTTATGTAATAATATGGAAGTTGTATAACATATGGAAAATGGCATGATTTTTTTTTTATTTTGCATTCTCTGAATTTATCTCAATTCACAGAGAAAATCTGAAGTCTGAAAACTTTGTTACAGGTGGAAAACGGAAAAACAGAACAGTGCCTGTCTTTCTGTCTTCCGACTTGGAAAGTTTGCACTGTGGAATAACCTTGTCATGAGGTTGAGAAGCTACAAAAACTATTTTAGGATTAAGTACAGGCCCAGCCCACAGAACCAGCTCTCACTGGATCAGTATAGGTTATGCYTTTCTGCCAAAACCAAGCAAATAGTTCAGAAGTTGAACCTGCCTTAAAAATAAAGGTTCATATCTTTTCTGATTAGGCTGGTTCCAAATCTCCTTTGTGCCACACTGACACAAACACACTTTGACATCATTGCCCATGCACAGATATAAATACCTTCAAAGTAGCATGGACACACAGAACATCAGTCCCTGGGAATGAGATGCAGCACTGTTTCTACAATTCTCTTCCACAGGGTASCAAGACATGGACCCACAGCATCATTGTTATCCCTGCCTTTGAGCAGCCCTGTGCTTTCCCTCCCTTTACCTGTGGGGAACAGATTCCAGGGTCCCTAGCTGTCCTTCTCTAAGGATGAAGCTTTCAGCCTCTAAATTTGACACCTGAATGGTTGTTCCTGAACTGGCTTCAACACAGCCACCTTGAGGGACTGTGCTCAAGGGATCTGTCATACCTGCTGAAATAAATGCTCATATTAAACACAAGTACAGATACAGATAACACAGCCCCAACTTCTGACCCAGCTGTTCCTTCTCTCCTTRCTCCACATTCACCAGAGCCTGGGTGATTGGCAGTCATAGCACTTTCTGCTCTACAGACCTCCATGACAAGCAGGTGGACATTACTTAGGCATCCTAACAAGCCTGTTCTGAACAACAGGTTACAGTTTAGGCAAAAGAGTAGTAAGAATGTCTGTTTTGACCCCTTAAATCAAGAGATTTTCTTGTGAAAACAAAGTTCCATGAACTACCATGGAAGCAGAACTCCAAAGCCCAAAATAAGCACCCCTTCATCAGAACACTTAAAGTGAGGAAGAGTGCTTACAACAATGGGAAGAGAAGGTTGGAAACYCTTAAGGTCAACAATCTGGGCGCAGTTTTACTAACCTTCTGCACCTGGGATCCACACGGAGGCAGAGATTTCTGTGGYGCTGTAAGAGGCCTGCCACATGGGCAGGCAATCACTCGGGAAGGGAGGGGACTCGTAACAGTGCAAGAAAAAGCTCCCCTGCTGGGGGCTGACAGCAGCGCTGCTCTCTGCTTCTCCAGGCAGCAGCACAGGGGAGCCAAAGCAGCTTCCTGGCTCCATCACAGCCTCGGTGCCAAAAGGTACAGCTTGTTCAGTGTTGTGAGTGGTGAACACAGCCATGCTTGCTCCAGCTTCATGCAGATCAGTGCTCTCTATATTGCTGCAATGATGGAGAAAAGCACTCAGACAGACAAACTGCTTTGCCAAGAGGGGACCCCCAGCTAAACCTTTGAATCCTGCCTTCCACAACGCAGAGATGAGCTGCTCTGTCTGGACATGGAATGTTTCCATCAATGGTGACAAGACTCCTAAGTGATGTCCCCTGGGAACTAACATGGAAGTCAGTTCCATAAATATGTTTAAAAGTTGCTTCATCTCCAAACTGTCACTGTAAAGAATTTTCATACATCACCTGGATTCCAGCATCTTTAAATAACTTCCTTCGGGAGGTCTATACAGAGGTGCAGCTGACTGCTCCCATCCTGGCTCACAGGGCATAAGGGTTAYCTCCATTTGCTCAGGGCCGATGCTCACATGAGATCCATCTGAAAGGGGCAGGCCGGGCAGGTGGAACAACACTAATGGCTAATCCACGAGGCAACAAAACAAGTCTAACCTGCCAARTGCAGCAAGACACCCCTGTTCCTTGTGACTGAAGTTTGGTTAAGTCTCTGTGGAAGGACATGGAAATACTGGGTTTTCCTGGAGTACTGCCCTGATCCCAGAATCTGAGAGTTAAAACCTRCTGCCTCCCATGTATTTTTTTCCATTTGGTGCCCCTTTCAAGCCAGGCATTTCTTTTCACTCATCCTTGCACAGGCCTTAGAAGTGTCTGCTCCTCTGCAGTTTGGCTCCTCTGGAGCCAAACAATGAGGCACTCCACTGAAGCAGAGTCCTCCAGCATCCACTTGATCCATCAGCACATGATGCTGTCCTGAAGAAGCAATATTCTTCCCTTCCTGAGGGAATTTRAAATTGATTTTCACTTCTTCGGACCACATTCTGAACCCATTAGGAAGAGACAAACCTGCAGTTTGTGGAGTGTTGGTTCCTTTATCCTGCAGCTCATTTGTGTGGAAAGTCAAAGCCCTCTCAGGACAGGAATTGTTGAGCTCTTTCATACGACAGAGGCGGGMTTTTTGACGTCGTCGATAATTTGCAAACCAATTATAGATCTGAGTTGGCTGCAGGTTCATGTCCCGAGCCAATCCCTCCTGCAAACCCAGGCACAAGGAGAGATCAAGGGGAGAAGAATAAACCACATCCAAATGATCAGGCTGTTCCCTTCAGTTCCAAGAGCAGTCCAGCAAAATAGTTCCCAAACCTAAAAACATTTACTCACTAGGTCTCCAACAGATGAACATGAATCTGATTGAGGAGACCAATTATAAACTGAGAGTTGATAGAAAACACACATTCCACCCTGCAGCCCCAGACAATCTGTTTGCTAAAGGAAACCACCACTATTCTATACTGCTCACCAGATAACGCCCTCCCCAAAGCATGCTCATCCCACAGAATTACAGCTCCACAAAGGCTGACTTTAAAGTCTGAAGCCTTCACCTGGCAAGGCAGTGATCAAAAATGCTTACTGATTTAATTCCCACATCTCTTTCAATACAAATCTGTCCCTGCCCAAAGAAAGTAGATCCATGCATACACCAACACAGCCTATTGTGCTATCACATTAAATGACCAGCATTTGAAAAGTCTGCACAAAATATGTTCTGGTGAACAAAGTGCAATTTTATACAGGCTGGTGCTCAGTCAAGTCAGAACTATTTACCACTGTAATAAAGCTCTTCTGAGTGATGGCTGTTTGGCTGCCTATGCTCAATAAYAACAAAATTAGAACTGTTAGAAACCCAGTGAACAATTTATTGTCTCTCAACTTTTTGTCCACAGCAAAAGAAATTACTTAGCATGAAACTGATGACTTTTTTTTTAAAAGAAACCTCTAAGGAAAGATCAAATATGAAGAATCCCAGCYTCAATGAGCTTTCTGAAAACAAGCATGTAGAATTAAACCAGTTTAATTTAGAAATTTAACTAGTTATARACTCTTGATAGCAGAGTCCTGCTTTTCTGTGACAAGAAGACTTGTTTGGAAGTAGCATATCCCTACCCGCTGTTTCTGGTTTGGATTTGCTGTCACCTCTGCAGCAAACCTGCGCAGACGCTGACGAACTTCATCTGAATAGTTTCGATTCTTCAAACCTTCAGGACAAAGGGAAACAGGTGGAGGATTCCTGTACACAGGAAAAAGTGCAATTAAAAAGGACCCAAGAAGAATAATTTGCATTCACGGGAATTTTCTCACATTGCCACAAATAGTGAAAACACCAAGAAAAACCAAGCTCCAAGAAGCAACATCTTGATGTGCAAAACCACCCTCTGCATCTGTAGGACCTGCATCTGCAGACTTCAGCAGAGAAAAAAAATCTTGGTTTCTCCACAATGCATTACCTCTTCCTGCTGCGGAATTTCTGCAGTGGTGTCAGAGAACCTGTCTGGAGTTTCTCCATAGCCCTCCCGTAGTGAATCTCATGCCAAAGCTGCACCAGTTCTTCCTTCTCTTCTGCCTCACAATACTAAAACAAAACTGTGTGTAAGCAAATCCTTCCAGAGAGTCAYTAAGACTGACAATGAAAGAGAAAACCAGCAACAGAAAATCAGATTTCTACTGGTTTAACAGAGCTGGTAGCATTACCTAAGCATATGGCTCACTGTGCCTTCTCTAATGTACACAGGGAGTCACCCAATTCCTTCTTGTCCCATGGTGAAAAGGTCTACATTACCAGATCTAGAGGCTAAAATCCCTCATCTGAGTGATACTATCCTCATATATTCCCACCAAGCCCTCTAATCCTGGGCTTCCCATGATTTTTATGTCCTGAGTCCTAAGATTGTGAAAAACTCCAAGAACCACCACACTAGAGAACAAAAATCCTGCTACAACAACCCCATAAKAGCCCAGTTACCTTCTTCCCCTTGGTTTATTAACACCGCCTGCCTGTAGCAAAGGCTTTATCCCGTGTTTCAGGTCAGCAATGCACACGGATCACCTTCCACTGCCCCATGCCAGCTGGAAATGCTCCATGTGCTGCAGTTGGGTACCTCTGCACTAACAGCTGTTCTTCTAACGTGACTTTTTGTTTCCATGAAGAATCAAAGAACACATCCCTACCTCCAGGAGTCTGCAGGCTGCATCATGTTGCCCATTATGGATATGAACGGACACACAAGCCCGGACAACATGGACGTTAGTGAGAAAATATCTCTTGTTCTTGCATCCCATCACAGCTTCAACCAGCTTCTCCAGATCGGGAGATGAGCTCTGGAGCTCCTGGCAAAGCTGTCCTGCTAGATCCAACAGCTTGGTGGGTGGGGGATGCACATTTTCGTTCTCCTTTAACATGGCCATGAACTGATTCATCATCAGGTCCTGTTGGAAGCTTTTTCTACGCAATGCACAAAGTTGTGGTTAGATAAAAACAATTATCTTCTATTTTTAACTTCTATGGTA